CCACAGTGGTGTTGGATCAAGGGTTGGACTTGATGATCTCAGAGGTCCCTTCCAACCTAGTTGATTCTATGATTCTACCTTGCTGGAGCAAGAGGACAAACTTGGGCCTAAATGCCTTTTTGGTAGGCCTTTATTGTCAGAGACACTGCTCCATGGGGTTTCTAAATATTTGTTTCTTTTGTAAGGTGTCTTCAAAAGTGTTTGCTGAACATTCTTCACTTTGCACCCTACTGAGGAGCACTTTATTCTGTGTTAGCCTTTGAAAATAGTCCTAGTGTAAAGATTGGATAAACCATGTCATACTGCTCTCTGCAGAAATCTGCATGGGTCGAAAGTTGATATACATTGTATTTTTCTTCATGGAGACGAGGCAGTCTGTGGGAAGCCATGAGAACTCTTCAAGTCATATGATGTTGTACTTTCACAAGTTGGGTGAGGTGAGTGGAAAAGAATCAGCAAGTAATTAAGAATTGGGTCAGGAAAGTGTGGCTCCATGGGAGACCACTGGCAGGAAGATTGGTACACAAATTGGGAGAATGGCTGATTTTCGCAATTGCTTCTGAGAGGATGACCTATCCTTCAGTTGATTACTATGAATTTATCAATGATCCACTTGAACTCCATGTATTGCAAATATCTTCCTCCTCAATGAAGTAGGTGCTCTTTGTTAGTTAGCAGTATTAGTTAATGGTGTGACAGTTTCTGCTAGTGAAGTGTACATATGCAAGTCCGTAGATATTGTATATCTACATATAAGATAAAGATCCCATGGATATTTCTGCACCAGAGGGAGCAATAGTTCATTGCTGCTCTAAAAAGTAGTCTCAGAGTGTCCAGAATTGGGTTACCAGAGCTGAGGTACCAAAACCATAAAGATAATCTTGGCAGCGTGGACTTGTGATGTATTTAGCACACTTTCTTAGACACTTTGTCCAATTTTGTGTTTGCCCTCGCTTGCATGGCAGTAGGGATATATTTGAAACTTGTAAGACTTTAGGATTAAACATCCATACTGAAGTTATCCTTAAGACTTGACTTCTTTGGCTATCCCTTCAGATTTCAATGCCTGTGAGAGTCTGCCTTTCAGACCTCAAGGGAAAATGAGCACCTAAGCATGCCAATTAGGCTAGTATGGCATCAAGTAGAGTCAAATGCACTCAAGAGTATGCGGGCAGAAGAAGGTATGAAGGTGAACCCTAATGTCCATAGACATTGTTTGGACACTGTGTACAAAAAGCCATAGATATTTTTGTGATTAGTGCTTTCTAAGGCAATGTTCCTATTACATGTGTCACATCTTGTCAGTGTCTGCAGGCAGAATGGTATTTGTGAGCAATAAAGATTCTTTATCTCCTCAGAATATGGGTAGCCTCTGAATCAATGAAGCAAATCAGAAAGAAAAGAATTGATTGATTTTAAAAGAAATCATCATCTGTATTTAAACTACACAGACTTACCTGTCCTTGATTAAGTCTCTCTGACAGTTCCTGTCTTTGCTCTTAACCTCCAGTGTTGATACAATAAAGACATATTTGCCACGCTGGTGCCCTAAGACAAAACTGACTACAAATTTGGAGGAAAATTATATTCCATAAGGATTTCAGAAAATATTACAAACAAACACTGTCAATGTTCCTCCTCATACCTGGTGAAGAATAACCTGCAGTGTTACTTACTGGGTGGGTTTTACATTCTTCTGTGAAATACTTGATATGAGATGTAGGAGTATCAAACCAATATAAAAGTATAATACCTGTGTCTTAAACTGTATGTAGTGTCAAGACTGATCAAGAAGAGAGATTGCCCACACAGTCTGCCTCCATTACTTGCTCTATTGTGCTGGCCCCTGGCACTATGTTAAAAGGCAACAAATCTTATTCATTTTCTTGTCTGTGCCAAGCAGGACAAAACTGATCAAGACTGCAGATAGTGGTTTAATTTATTATTTGGTGCCTTGTGAAAAAATTTTTTGAGTAAAAAATGCGTGTCTTTCAGGCTAGTATGAAAACAGGAAGTTCAGTTATCTTAATTAGCTTATCTATCGCTCCTAAAAACTAGATTTGTATCTACAAAAAAGAGAAAAATATAATAATCTTTGTAATTTGTAGACAGTAAGAGAACCACTTACATTTCATTGTTCCCTATTTACAATGTAATGTCATGGTGGCCTGATATTCCCTTTTAAATTAATAAAAATTCTTTAAGTAGCTCTGTGCTCACTATAACTTCCTAAGGAGGTTAATTACTTTTATTTCTTGGAGTTTATATTGAAGGATATCAAAGCACTTCAGAAAGAGCAGGTGCTGGGAGATTTTCTGTGAGAGAATGGTCTTGGGTCTTCTGTAGATCCACAAATATGCATAAAATGTATTTGCATTTATATATATGAATAACTACTTTTCAATATGTGAACGATATCGTTTTGATTCCAATTGCTATAATTATTACATACCTCCTTTTTATCCCCAGTGCACTTCTAGTTGAAATGCTCATAGCATTGAACAATTCCTACACCTGCTCTGCAGTTCTTACTCAGATTGAATTCATCAGTGGTGTTGCAAGGAAGATAAGACAAAAAGACCACGCAGCATTCACTTAATTTTTAAGAGTGTCTGTAGAAAGACTGTATAGATATGAAACTAAATGTATCACATTCCTTATATTCTCATCTAGATGTTTTAGTATTTGAAGTATTTTTATGGCAGTGCAATTTCTTTACTGCTTTCAAAATAATCAATTTCTTCTATGAGACAAGCAGTTCAGTTTTAGGTTTGTTTTGTTGGGTTTTTTTTACGAAAGTCTCTATGTATATCAGCTTTCTGATTAGACGTGAGAAACTTATTACTCTACTCAACTTATCTATGAATTAAGTTATTGATATGCCTGAAAACTCATTGAATATTGAGAGCAGAAACACAAGAAAACAGCGTATCTACCAGACTTACAATAAGTCAAAACTTACAGGTTGTGCTTTATTTCAGGAAAACACAGCAATTTGCAAAATCTGCTTGGGACTGTGTTTTTAGCCCACTGCTGGTGCTTCTGTTCCAAACAGAGCTAACAATAAAGCATTCTCTTTGACTCTCAATAATATATGCATCATAACCATCAAAGAGTTTCCTTAATACATTGTCCATTATTAATCTCTGGCATCTTAATATTTCTGACTTTACACAGCAGTGAAAACTAATTCAGTCTTTGTTTTACCTGCATCCATTCTGTTGATCTTCAAGTTTTAAAGGGCCTATATTAAGTCAAAACTTTAAGTGCAAGAATCTGAGAGTATATATGTAGCAAATGTTATGGATGATTAATATATGGATGATTAATATTTAGGATATCAGTGATCATCTGAGAAAAAATGTAAATGAGCACAACCCCTTTCTCTGTATGCCATTTTTCTGTATGAATAGCCTTCCAGTCTCCCTATGCAGTTTTATTAAGTTAATATACAAAGAAGATCATTCTCTGAATTACTTGCAATTACTATTTTAAAGAAAAATTCCTATGCATCATGCATTTCACCTTAATTCCAAACACAGATTGACACTAAACTGTTTCAGAAGAGAAAAGAAGAATTTTAAGTCATAAGTGTTGTGAAGAACATTGAAAATACTAGCATGGGAAAATAACATCTGATAGCTTCAAAAAAGATAGGTACAGATACTCTCCCTTAACTTCTTTTTAATTACTCAGCAGCTTGCACTTAAACTTGTGAAAAGAGTGAGGAGAACTAATTTTTCCCTACCTTAAGAATAAGAGTAAAGGTTGATAAAGGGAATATTTACCCTCTTTGCAATTCTGGCATCCATCTGAACATGGTATGCAGTCTTCAGAGTCAGGATCTTCCACTTCACCTATGTTTTGCAAATCATCAATATGGGTTAATTTTAGATAATGAAAGGGCTACATCTGGAAACACTCAGCAAGGTTCCAGGAAATAAACTTGATTCAAATCTAAAAAGGAGAAACACTCACAGAAATTTGTTTTCTCATTTGTTCTTGTGTAACCTCACTCAATTTGAGGAAAATACTGCTGTTTTACATTAACATGATATTAGAAGGGAATCAGAGTAGGAACTTAAGGGCCTTGAGGTCAGGTGTGATTGTATATTTCAAAACAGGATTTGATTAATATGCTTAACCAGATTTCTGTAACAAATTGAATAGAATATTTGTTAACTCCTACTGAAAGATGCTTACCTTCTTTACAACTATGCTTCTGACACATATTGCTTACCTTCTTTACAACTATGCTTCTGACACATATTTTCAGTAAGGTAGTAGCCTCTGAAACATCTTTTGCACTGGTGAGAGTTCAGGCACACCTCACAGTGGCCAGAACAAGGCATACAGGTATGCTCTGCGTGGTAGTGACCTGGAGGACAGCTCTCTCTGCACTCCCCTCGATACAAGAAACGTTCAGTCCCTCTTCTGTCTGTGTGGCAAACAAATAGAAAAAAGTTGTCAACCACAGAGGGCATTTCAGTATAAGAAGAAGCTTTATAAAACACTGGTTCTGTGGTTGAGACACTGACTGCTAGATTTGTACAGTTTTACAGAGTGAACATCTATAAAAGTTTCAGGACCTCAAACATTCCACATTCCTGGAGATTCATGGCTTATAAAGATGTCATGTTAGTAAATAATGACTGTTTACATCCATCAACATAATAAAATAAGGATCAACACTTTTCCACCACTGAGTTTCACTTGCAGAGGAAAAATGAGTATTTGTACTGCATTGTATACAGATATAGAATTACTATTAGGAAAGCAAAGTGGCTCACTTCATCTTTGGAAAGGACCAGTCTTCGTCCCTAGAATATTCAACTGTAATCCTTACCCTAGTGAATCATCTAGATTTGAATTTGAATAGCAAATATGCAGCTATTTGCTATTAGTACATTAGCATTCTGCAGTGCACAGGAACTGGGAGGTCCCCTGCTTCAAATCCTTTTGAATGAGACCTGTGGAAACACCCATAACTCCATGTGCCATCTACTGTAACATGGGTAGTTTTCTAATAGGTTACCCTTCAGTATAAATTACATACATTACTGTGCTAAGTGTATTTCATTGCCTTAACTACAGAGCAAGAATTTGCTTACCATAATTTATTTTTGAAAATGCTTGCAATATAATAATTGCAGCAATAGAGACTAATTGCTGCAATAGCAGCAATAATAGCAAAAATAGCAGAAGCACTCTTTGTTTCTTTTACTTTTCATGCAAAAATTTTTATCATTAACTTTTCCAGACTCCTAAGGGTGTGAATCTCATCAATGTCTTCGTTTCTTAATGCACAGAAACACAAGAATTTCTGTCCACAATAAGGAACAGACTTAAGGAACAACTATACAAACTTGCTCTCACATTAGGCCTGAAGTACTGTTTGAAAATGTCATCTACTGAGTCGCATTTCCCAAAGTGAAAAAGCCAATATCATAAACAGTGTGACTAATTGCCAGCTATGCTAGTGTTTACTTGTAATCTAAACACTTATTACTAAATAAAGCCTGGGCCATTGATGACTAGGACTGAAATGGAAGTAGCAGCTGAAATTAAAAAGGCTGTGAATCCATTGTGAGTCCTCAGAATAGAGCTCATTAAAAATTGTTCTTTATTATGTATATTAGAAGTTAAATACTCATTTCCAAAGGAAGGTCAGGCTAGTTAAAATACTTGTATGTAATAGCCTCAGATTCTTTGCCCATTAGGTGTTACAGAGACAAGACAAAGTAATTTTTAAAATGGAGCTTCAAAAGGAGAAGGGATGCTTTTTTGAATTTCCACAAATTTAACTACATTTGCCTCCCTCTTAACCAAAGTTCTATAAAAATGTCTGTTAGTGGTAAGCTTCTCTTTGCAAACTGTGTTTGTTCAGCTGTAGGGACACAGCAATCTGCAGTGGAACCCACCATGCTTGTTTCTCAGCCTTCCCCAGACAGATGTTACGGAAAGTAGCCTGGCTCCCTGCCTGCTTGTGCAAACTTGCAGTATAGCACATCCTGTGCAGAGGTTGGGGGAGGCATGTATGGAAATTTCTTTTCCAGAAACAGACTACATAGGTTTTCTGTCCGTTTCGCCCCTGCCCCCCCCACCCCGTGCTGTTCTTTCTGTTTCTGTTAACATAGCTCCTCTTGAAAATATACCAATGGAAATGCATTAAGTTGCAAGGACAATATGCAGTCGTGTTTTCTTGTACTATTTAAAAAACAAATTGAGTTCCAATACCCTTCAGAGTTACAACAAGATTACAACACAGATCGGTAGCAAAAGCGCTACTCATTTTATTGACTCTTAAAAACTGGCTCTGAGAGCTGAGAGAAAAGGGAACTTGGAGGCCAAGGGAGGGGAAAAAACTGGCAAGAGGAATTATTTCTTACCTGTTCCACAAGAGGTGCATTTGTTAGGTTCACTTCCACTGCAATCCAGGCAGGTATGATGGCACACATGACATTGCCCTTTAAATTCAAACTTTCCTCTGGGGCATTGCACAACACAGTGACCATCATCAAAGACTCTTTTAAAGAAGATAGGGCATGATTACAAATTTAGCAACTATTTGTTCTTTAAATTTAAAGGAAGCTAAAAAGAAACTCAATATATTCTTCCCTCACTCTATTTACAAGAGTATTTGAACTTTAATCCTTCGTTTTCCCAATCTTATTCGTAGTATTTACTGTATGAAAAGTGTTTTGAACTTGAATCTTAGACTTCAAAGATTATTTTTCTCTGAGACTGTTTCTGAGAAAAATTACCTTTTGATCCTTTACCTAGATGTACTTATAGTATAGTCCGTGCAGCAGTCATTTATGTCTGCTAGAAAGTAAGTAGAACCTGGTTTTTCTCTGTGAATGAATAATTCACCTGTTTTACTTTTAAGACTCCCTTTGAAAAGTACTATGACTTCAGTAAAATGATTTGTAGATGTGCTGGTTTAAAAGTTAACCAGCAAGGCAAAATGAACTCAATTC